GGGGGATGGTCACGCCGCAATCCCTTCTCCTCCATTCTCCTCTCGGGATCTTGGGCACGCACGCACACGCGCCCGGCGTGAGTTTTAAGCCACCGGGTCCGGGACGCGAACCGCGGTCGACTATGTGGGAGTCCAGCGACATAGCCATTACGCTAACTGCTGGTTCCCAGCTCATGTTTTCTTTAACAAACAACTAAGTTTTCTCCCAGAAGGTTTATTTGTCACATTTGAAGTACAAAATCAAAGTCAGACCCAGATTTATGAACCATATGTACATATCTCAAGACCCGTTATTGAGGACCACACACACCCATCGGTACATTTTAAATCCTCCATCAATGCTTATCTTTTGAGTAGAAATCAACATAGCTCTTTAAAATAAAAAATAAAGTTGGTTGTAACACTGTCCAAGTTACTTTCACTTTGTCACTTGGATGGGACAGCTATGTCACAGGAATAGGTGAAATGCCAAACATACATCCAATTTGCTTACACAGATTTCTTTTTTGGAGAGGTTTTTGCTATAGGGCGTGTGTGTGCGCCAAACAGACAGAGACAGAGAGACAGAAAGAGAGAAATCACCCCCCAGGGGGGATGACCACACCGCAATCCCTTCTCTATTCTCCTCTCAGGATCTTGGGCACACACGCACACACATGCACCCAGCGTGAGTTTAAGTCACCAGGTCCGAGACTCGAACCGCGGTCGACTATGTGGGAGTCCAGCGACATAGCCATTACGCTAACTGCTGGTCCCCAGGTTTCTTGAAATATATTCTACAGGAGTAATTAATAGATGAACCTGACAATCAAAATCTTTGAGCATATTAACTGAAAAAAAAAAACCAAAACCAAAACAAAAACAAACTTGGGCTACGGGAAGACATTTTATAAAGTTAATTAATTGCATTCCAAGAGTTGTTTGTTCTTATTTGGGTTTTAAATGTTAAAAAAAAAAAAAAACAACTTATTCTGTCTCACAGCATGTATATTTTTTATACATGGAAATCTCTAGGAAATCATGAAACTGTCGCATAGCTCCCATTTTCTGGGGAGCTGTAATGAGGAACTGGGGTGGGGGCTACCTATGGCTGTTAAAGAATGAACTGGTCACTATGAGAGGTATCTGATTTTTAATACTGTGAAGGTTATTTCAACCAAAATGCAAGAGCACAGTTTTTCAGGAGAAAGGCATAAATGTTCAAGGTGCCAGAAATAAAACATGATTTCACTGAGCACTTGGGTGTCCTGTGGACACAGGGACTAGGTTATAACAGCGTCTTGCTCTGGCTGTCACCTGTGTGACATGCAGACCGTGGGACACTCAGGCTCAGACTGCGGACACACGGACTGGGTTATAACCGTCTTGCTCTGGGCTGTTGTCTGTCTGACACCCGGACCTGGGGGCACTCAGGCTCAGACTGCGGGCACACGGACTGGGTTATAACCGTCTTGCTCTGGGCTGTTGTCTGTCTGACACCCGGACCTGGGGACACTCGGCCTCAGATCCCCGAACGTCTCCCTCTCCACTGAGACACAGAGCTCCGTCAGTCCTTGCTTCCGAAACTGGGAACGCAAAGCCTACAGAGGTGGGTCGTTACTGAAGTCAGACTTGCATAAGGGCTTCACAGTAGCAACGCAGAATGTCCTCAACATCACATTTCCATAGGAAAGGTTATATATACATCAGACACTTCGGCCTTGAAATGTGGACCCCAGACGTTCCACTTTAGTCACCAGGGGGGTGGGGAGGCCCACCCGCAGCCCCATCTAGCAGAGCAGCAGCCCCTCCTTGGCCGCCAGGCGCCGACGGTGCACCTTGTCCTGCTGCAGCTCCTCGTGGTTGGGATGCCAGAGCTTGGTGATGACCCTCTCGATGTTCAGGGCATACACGGTGTGTGTGGGGATGACCTCCCGGTGGACCTGCGAGGGGCAGCAAGCACAGCTCCAAGTACTCTGCAGCAGCTGCTTTTCTGACATAAACGTGGGGTTTCTAGCAACACAACACTGATACAGCAGAGACACAACCACAGACATGAACTCAACCTGACGAATCCCCCAGCAACGATAACAAGGTTCTGAAATAGGAACAGGGAAGAAGGCGACTTTCTTTTCTTTCATTTCTTGGGGAGGTCAAGGATGGGAGAGGTAAATTAAGGACCCCTGGGCCCAGGATTTAAAAAATAAAGCTAGCATGAATGGCTTTTACTAACGTACAGCAAAAACTGAAAAGCATAAAGCCAGGTGGAGAAAACCTGGAGAACATCTTTGCAGACATGAAGGTATTTTAACCTATCCATACATCTAGGTAAACTTCAAGGAGCCCAGAATTACCTGCAGAGCTTCAAAAAGGTCATACATATTCACTGGAGGCAACGATGCAGGCAGTGTGTCCCCAGAGCAGGCCAGCAGGAGTGCGGCCTGCTGCTCGGCGTCATCCGGGGGTGGGTGGGAAGCGGGGTTCTGACCAGCGCAGGGTGCGGAAAAAGCTGGAGGGCTTGGGAGAAAAAAATTAAAATGAGAGATATTCCCAGCACGCGCGATAGAGACAACCAAGCACTATACTGGACGGACTGCTAGAGAATGCCCAGGTGGAGAACAGCTCGAAGTGAACTGGGACGTCACTGCAGCTCAGTGCTTACCAGTGTACACGCAGACACTGTAATTCTACTTCTTAAAGGCAGCCCTTTCATCACGCTGGAAACACATAATGCAACTGTGTTTACCTTCCTTCCTCTACAATGTTAAAATACTTACTTAGCCTAGGATGTTGAACCAACATTGCTTCCTACTCTTAAAGAGCTAGCAGTTGAGAGACGAAAGGAGTTGCTGCCCACTCAGTGCTCCTGTCACCCATCCCGGAGCAACAAGGGAGCAAAGGTCATCGGGCCTGAGCTGATCACCAAAGCCCCTCCCCCAGCCTGGAGTGTGGGAGAAGGGGCGGCATGCGTTGGGCTCTGCCTTTCACTCTGCCAGTCTAACTGGCCTTCAACCACACTGGGACCAGAAAGGTTTGGGTGTACAGAACCAGACACCTGAAGACAATGAGCACTTGAAGGAATTTTCGCCCCATAACCCGCCCCAGCAGTAAAAGGAGAGAAACTCCCCTCTGAGAATCTGAATGTCAAACTCCCACTGTGGATTCCACACTCCCATCCACTGTAGAAGAGGGAAACTGACACAGAGCTAACTCCTATCACAGGGAAGCCCACGAAACATATTCTAAGATGTAGGATGTCACCAGATAACTAGGATTCAAAGCAGGGTCACATGAAACACTTCATATTTCTTGACAGGAAATACTGCCTCCTCCAGAAGAAATAAAATAGCTCCTCACTAATAATGGACAAAATATGAGGTCAAAGAAATGTCAGAAAAAGAATTCAGAATATTTATTGTAACAAAACTCTAAGAGATAGAAGAGAAAATAGACAATTGAGAGTATTAACAGCTGATAAGACACAGAAGAATCACTGAACTTGAAGACAAAACCTCTCATTTAGTCCAAGCAACCAAAATGAACAGAAAAGTAACCATTAAAAATGAGGATAATGTGGGACCCGCAGTTAGCGTAATGGCTATGTTGCTGGACTCCCATGTAGTCAACCATGGTTCAAGTCCCGGACCCAGTGGCTTAAAACTCATGCCGGGCATGTGTGCGTGCATGCCCAAGATCCCAAGAGGAGAATGGAGGAGAAGGGACTGTGGCGTGGCCATTCCCCCTGGGGGGGTTATTTCTCGCTTTCTGTCTCTCTGTCTCTGTCTATGTGGCGAACACACACGCCCTATGGCAAAAACCATTCAAAAAAAAAAAAAAATGAGGACAATGTAAGGCAAATCCTAGACACCATTAAACAACTAAATAGCTGCATAACAGGTATCCCAGCAGGTAAAAAAAACAGGTCAAGGCGTAGAAAATCTCTTTCATAATTTATTAGCTGAAAACTTCCCAAATTTAGAGAGGCATACAGACATCCAAATCCAGGAAACACAAAGGACACCAAACAGATTTAACATAAGAAGATCCTCTCCAAGGTACGTCATAGCCAAATTGATAAAAATCAAAGACCAAGACAATATTCTAAAAATGGCAAGAGAAATGCAAAGTTACATACAAAGATCACTCCATTATAATGACTAACATCAGACTTGTCAACTGAAACAGTGCAGGCAATGAAAGAATGGGAAGACATATGTAAAACTTTGCAAGAAAAACTCTTGCCCAAAGTACTCCACCTGGCAAGATTATTCTTCAAATAGGAAGGAGAAATAAAATCATTTCCACATAAACAAAAGCCGAAAGAAGTCACCAAAACTAGACTAGCTCTTTATGAAACACTTAAAAGAACACCACACTGGGAAAACTAAAGGGAGACAAGTAGAAGTAACAGAACACAAGAAGATCAGGAAAAAAAGGAGTAACAAAAGTCCACGAATAATGACAGTACCACTGAATGTTAGTGGATCAAATTCTCCAATTAAAAGATACAAACTGGCTCAATGGATTAAAAATGCTGGACCCCTCTATATGCTGCTTACAGGAAACACACCCCATTGACAAGACATACATAAACTGAAAGTGAAAGGCTGGAAAGTCATCTCATGCAAACAGAAATTTTAAAAAAGAAAAGACTGGAGTTATGATACTGGTATCAGACATAATAGATGTTAAGATAAAAGTGGTAAAAAGAGATAAAGAAGGACACAATAGGGACCAGCAGTTAGCGTACTGGCTATGTCACTGGACTCCCATGTAGTCGACAGTGGTTCGCGTCCCGGACCCGGTGGCTTAAACTCACGTCGGGTGCGTGTGCGTGCGTGCCCAAGATCCCGAGAGGAGAATGGAGGAGAAGGGATTGCGGTGTGGCCATCCCCCCTGGGGGGGTGATTTCTCGCTTTCTGTGTCTCTGTCTGTCTCTTGTCTGTCTAGCGAGCACACGCTCGTCGCGCAACCCCCTAAAAAAAAAAAAAAAAAAAAAAGGACACAATATAGTTCTAAAAGGATTAACTCACCAAGAAGATATAACAATTATAAACACGTATGCACCCAAAACCAGGGCACTCAAATATGTAAAAGATTTCTAGATCTAATGGGAGATATAGACTGCAGCACACTAATTGTTGGGGATTTCAACACCTCACTGTCACCACTGGACAGGTCACCTAGACAAAACATAAACAAAGGGACACAGGAGCTACCTGATACCATAAACCAAACGGACCTGGTGGGCATAGATATTCCAGCTGGCAAATACAAAATACACTTTTTTCTCATCTCCACATGGAACATTTTTAGAGACTGATCACATAATAGACCACAAAACAAGCCTCTACAAATTTAAAAGGTATAAAAACTATACTCAGCATCTTCTCTGATCACAATGGAATTAAACTTGAAATCAACCACAGAAGAGCCATCAAAATGCAAAAAACATGGAAACTAAACAACTATTCCTGAAAGACTTCCAAACTACTGAAGAAATTAAGAATGAAATCAAAAGATTCATGGAAACCATAACCTTCGGGACACAGAGAAAGCAGTCGTAAGAGGGAAGTTCACAGTCAGTAGTGCTCACAAGCAAAAAAACCAGAAAGGTGACATATATAATAAATAACTTGACATCTCATCTCAAGGAACTGGAAAAGAAACAACAACAACAAAAATAGCAGAAGAAATAGTAATTAGAGGCGAAACAAATGAAATAGAGAATAAAAAAATTATACCAAAAAAAAAAAAAAAGCTGGTTATTTGAGAAGATAAACAAAATAGACAAATCATTAGCTAGGCTAATCAAGAAAACCAGAAAATGGCACCAGATAGATAAAAATAAATTTAAAAAAATAAAAAGTAAAAATCAGTAACAAAACTGGTAGAATTACAACCAATATAGCAGAAGATACCAGAGACTATCAGGGAGTGGAGTTTTTTTTTTGGGGGGGGGATTTGACAGACAAAAGAATATCAAGCTCTCTGTTGAAAATGATATATATGGTAATATCCTTGATTTGTGTGTCATGTACTACATGCACACGTTGCCAAACTGTATTGTGCATTACAAAGTTGTACAATGATGGAATGTAAATTTAAGAAATAAAAAATATAAAGGAAACAAAAAGGAGCTAGTTATTAAAAAAAATAGGAGACCCAAAAGAATATGGAGCTGGAAATAAAACCACTTGGCAAGGAAGGTGAATGGTACCGGAGACAACAAGTTCAAAGATAAAGAGCGAAAAGGAATGGCACAAAGTCAGCAACGGTAAGTGTGGGAGTCAGAGGGAGAGCACCCACATCTTGCCCGGTTCCCAAAATGCCTAGTACAGGCTGAGAAGTCGACCTGAGGGCTACATACACAGCAGATGACCTCTACCCAACCCTGATGCACATACAGGGAGGTAAAACGAAGAGGGAGGACAGTCAGTGTGGCTGGAAGCTCCGGTCAGAAGCAGCCCTATCCTACCGACAAGGCTGGCAGAGGCAGAAGCCCCCTCGGGGACTGTCTTGTGTCCGAGACTGGGCTTGAGTTCAGCACCGCCCACTACCAGGGCCACAGTTTTGGTTTGTTTTTGTTTAGAAAAGAGTGATTTGTGAATGAAACAAGCCCTAACAGATAAGCCTGAGTGAGACTGAGAGAGTAAATAACCACATATGGCAATCCACACACGAGCCCAGTTTAAGACAAGACTCTCCAAATGGCCGGTGTCCCCATGGGATCTTCAGAGCCTCAACATGGACACTGGTCCCTCCTCCTCCGGGTGGTGCCCACGCTGCCTGCTCTAATGGCCCCTTTGGCCATCCTATCCCACACTTTCAGCATCCCTTCTAGTCACTTCCTCAGCAGCACCACCCCTGCCACCCTCCCAATCATACTTCTTTCACCTTGTATCTCCCTGGTATCTCTAGGTCTCTTCTCATCTAAAGAGATAGACAGATCTGTGTAGTCCTGCACTCCAAAGAAATTCAGCCACTTCAGTAACCAGGAAGGAAATTCTATTTTTGTTTTCTTTCTCAAAGGTTACAATTCAGACTCGATTTTGGGGGGAGGGGCTGCGTAAAGAAGGTGCAAAGGTAAGACAAAGCTGAAGTATGAATGAAGGGAACTGAGGCTGTCTCCTAAAAGGTGACTCAGGACTTCAGATGAGGTCCTGGAGCCCAGGTCTACATGGGAGACGATGAGCCCAGAGCCCAGGTCTGCACGACAGGATGTCAAGAGGATTTCAAGGACACCTGGCACAGCCCAATCCCCAGAGCTAGAGCTCCAGGAGCCCGATGAGGACCTGGGAAATGCCTGTCCTCCTCCTCCTGGCATCAAGAAGTCCAGCCTCGGGGGCCAGGAGATGGTGTAGAGTTTACAGTGCTGGACTCCCACATAGCCAACTGTGGTGAGAGCCCCAGACTTGGCAGCTTAAAACTCACGCTGGCCATATGTGTGTGCATGCCCAAGATCCTGGGAGAATGGTGAAGTGACTGTGGCACCCCTCGGGGGGAGGGTGACTTCGCACTCTCTCACTCTCTCTCTCTATTTCTGTCTGGCAAACACACGCACCAAATGGCAAAAACCCTAAAAAGAAAAAAGAAAAAGCAGCCCAGCTTTTCCCCACGGTCAGAGGCTGGGCTTCTGACAGAGCAGGCCTACCCTTCCCAAGAGGCAGTCATGCCCGAGCCCTCAGTCACTGCCCAAGGAAGTGACTGCGTTCCACCTAGAAGTCCACCCAGAACACGGCACCTCATCAGACCACACGTGGCAGTGACTCCGGAGCTTCACTTCTGGTGAAGAGGACCAAAGGGACACGCCGGACATCATGCAAGAGTGAGACCAGCAGAATCAAACTGCTCTCGCGACAGAAGCTCTGCACCCACAGAAACCCATAACTGATTATTTAAGAGCTGCTACGTGAGAGCAGTACGACCCACAGCAAGCAGAGGGGCGAAACCGCAGGGAAGCACTCACCTTTCTATTAGGGTGTTGTAAGCTGCGACGCTGTTCTTCAGGTATGGCTGTGGCGTCACGTTACTGCCAAAGGCATATTTGAAATGGCCATCTCGTAACCGATAGGCCTTCCTTCTTGACACAACCGATGTCAGTATATCTTTAAGGTGATTCTGTAAGACAAGAAAAATGGCATGCACTCTTCGTTCAAAGCCAGTCATGGAAGTTCCATGACCAAACAATGCTGGCTGACGTTTAGATGGAGACGAGACAGACTGGCACAAGCTAGAGCCAAATGCACATTCCCTAGAGAGCCACAAAGCCACTCCAGGGAGGGGTACCAGATAGGGACATGCTCATTTTCTCTAGTTCTCTTTAAGATGGGCTTGCTGTGCATGGAATTGATTTTATTTGACTTGCCAGAGAGCAGATGCACTAGCCAAAGAGAGAGAAAGAAATCACTCCCCCAATGGGGCATGGTCCCTTTTCCCCATCTCTCCATCCTACTGGAAGTATGGAAACTCATGCCTAATACACACGCATCAAGTGGGTTTTTTTTTTTTGAAAGTTTTTTGCTATAGGGCATGTGCACTCATCAGAGACAGATAGAAAGTGAGAAATCACTCCCCAGGAGGGATGGCCATGCCACAATCCCTTCTCCTCCATTCTCCTCTCGGGATCTTGGGCACACACGCACACGCGCCTTGCGTGAGTTTTAAGTTACTGGGTCTGGGACTCGAACCACGGTCAACTACGTGGGAGTCCAGCAACATAGCCATTACGCCAACTGCTGGTTCCCAAGTGTGTTTTTCAAGCCACCAGACAGGAACTCAAACCAGGGTGAATCATGTAAGATCGAGCTCCCTTAACCACGAGGCAATGGGGCCAGCCCTGTGTGGAATTTATCTTAATTTTTTTTTTTAATCTCTAAATTGCCTCTTCTTTCTCAAAAATGATTTTCAGATAGCTTTAGAAAAGATAAAAGCACAGGCCAACTGGTAGCATGGTGGTTAAGGCAGCTGGATTACACACAGCCTTCTGTGTAGTTCAAGTCTCAGACCCAGCAGTTTGAAAATCATGTTGGGCATGTGTGCATTTGTGCCCAGAATCCCAAGAGAAGAATGGAGAAGGAACTGCGGCATGGCCACCCCCTGGGGGAGCTTTCTCACTTCTCTTCCTCTCACTGTCTCCACAAGCACACATGCCCTGTAGCAAATTTAAAAAATAAATAAATAAGTAAATAAATGACTTTTTAAAAAGAGGCACACTATCCTGAAACTTAATGCAAACTGAGAAAAAGTTTCAAGATTGGTATTTATTGATTATAATGCCCACTCTACTAAAACTCTTGCATCAGAAGAACCTTGATTCTCTCGAAAGCTACAGAGATGGTAGATGCAAAGGAAACCACCACACAAAAAAGTGGGTCCTTCATTTCTCTTCACTTTTATAAGAGGCAGGTACGTAAGGGGAGGCTGGGGGTGCCTGTAAAATAGGGACAGGATCAGTCTCGGCTGACTGTCACAAACAGGGCAGCTGAGATCAGTCAGGCAGGGTGCTTCATACCAAGCCCACCATCTATCAAGGCGTCACTGTACAATGGGATGGATTTCCACAGGAAATGGATGGAATGTCTGTAACTTCACGTGACAGCTTTCCGTGAGGTCCAGGTGAAGGAAACGAGGACCAGAGAACTGAAGGCCACTGCCCCGCGCTACCGGACAGTGCCTGGACACTATGGACTCCAGCCTGCATTTTGTCAAAAGGCTAAAGGAGCGCAATGAAGAGATGAGTGACACCACCACGCTGAGTGCTCTCTGAGGCTGGACCACAGCAAAACCAGTCACGTTAATCTTGGATTCTCGGACTCTCCATCTCATTTTCTTCTTCAGAAACTGTCCCCTTGGTCAGCCATGGGGCTCAGCAGTAATACAAGGGTCTGTGATGCCATAAGCCACATGGAAAAGTCCCAGGGTTATGTCCCAAGGTCACCCTGTGCACAGGTGTGCCCATTATTCTAGTTGACTGGGACAGGCGGTAGATGGAAATATGGGGGTCCTATTGAGGAGGCCTGTCCTTCTCTCTCACTCATAGAAATATATAAACTTTAGGGGCCAGCAGGTAGCACGGTGGTTAAGGCACTGGACTCCCGCATAACTCACCACGGCTTGAATCCCAGACCTGGCGGCTTGAAATTTACAACAGGCACGTGGGCATACATGCCCAAATCCCGAGAGGAGAGTGGAAGAGAAGAGACTATAGCATGTCCATCCCACTAAGGGTGATTTCTCACTTTCCCTCTCACTGTCTCTCTAGAGAGCACATGAGTCCTGTGGCCAAAATCATGAAAAAACGAAAACAAAAACAAAACTGTCCCCTTGTTGATAAATTAAATACCAAATCAAACAGAAGGATTGGGCCTTCAGTAACCTTTCTGAAAAGCTCATCGTATTACCTGAATAACTGAAGGCAATTCTCTGGATTGTCACATGTTTTGCCTCTCAACAGAAAAAAAATCTTCAAAAAGGATAATCCTATGCAATTAGAGTGACTTGGTGGTTATTTCTTGCAATGTCAACTCTAAACGACACACATAAGCTTGTCACATGCAATGTGTAACATTATTTCTGCCAACCAGAAACCAACCTCCACCGCATAGACCACAGCTGACACGGCCTCCTCGGTGACATTGTCCAGCCCGTGCTCGTAAGCAGTCACTATCACCCTCCCTTCCAGCTGACCCCGCGTGGGAAGCATCATTGTGTGGGAGCACAGTTTCAAGTCGTCATCATCCTGGGGGTCCTTCGCCACAAACTGTTGGGCTCCCGAGAGGGGATTTTGAGGCTGGAATCTATGCTATGAGTAAGAAAACCTTTTCAAAGTTACTCATTACAGTGGCAAGTGAGAAGACACACACAGAGTAATCCACGTGCTGGACCAAGCACCTGGACTGTTATGGGGGGGAAAAGTCAGAGACTCGGGCCAGATGCTGGCATGGTAGTTAAGGCGCTGGACTCCCACATGGCCGGCCACAGTTCAAGTTCTAGATCCGTGGCTTGAAAGTAATGCTGGGCACACACGCGTGCAGGCCCCAAATCCTGAGAGAATGGAGAAGAGACTGTGGCATGGCCATCCACCCAGGGGGCGATTTCTCACTTTCCCTCTCTCTGTCTCTTTCTGGCAAGCACATGTGGTTTAAGGCAAAAACCTAAAAGAAAAAAAAAGAAAAAAAAAAGAAAGTGCCGAACTCACCCATTACCCAATAATAACAAAGACATGACTTGAGGGCATTAACAGTTGTGCGCACAGCAGTTTATTCTATTCAGGTAACACCTTGGGGTCACACAGTACACGGCCCTGTGCTGGAAATCACAGTCAGGGACCAGGAGGTACACTCTACCAGAACAAGTCAGAGCATTAGAAATAACTCTGTAACTAGACTTGCAAAGTGTAAATTACAATTAAGACTTCACTTAAGCCTCAAAAAGCCTTGCCAGCCCAGCTGTGAGGGTGCAGAGGGAGTGCAATGCTGGAATGCTGGAAGCCATGTGGGAGATCAGAGTTGGGTTCCTGGGTCAGCCTGCCTGTGCTGGGTGTGAACATGCACCCACGAGCCTGGCTGGCTGGGGAAGGCCGAGGGAAGGCGTGCAGTGTGAGACCCTGCCCAGGGTGCTTCTCTCTTTCTCTCAAAAAGAAGTAAACTTTAAAAAAACAAAACAAAAAAACAACAACCCAAAAAACCTAGCTAACAAATGCTACAGATCTAGTAACAAAGATCCCCAGATAATTCTGTGAAGGTAAAGGTAAATAGTAACTGTTCATTTGTACTTGGAAATCTCAACTCTAAACCCACCTAAGACAGTCACACCACTTAAAACAGCTTTTCTTTATCATTTTTCATTCATAAAATGTCAGCCATCCTCAGGGAGATTCTGAGGGCTCATTCCCCATCATCACGGGGAGATGGGTCTCTGGAAGCTTTGGCTTAATTCCTCAACTCAAGACTTTGTAATGAATATGGCTTGTCCCTGTTTGAAGTTTCTATTATAAAAACATTGTTATTTTTCCACTTTCCAAGTATGAAACTCTTTTATTTGAACACCGCCTGTCTAAACCAGGGATGTCTCTCTGGAGGTACCGACACCCTCCGGTTCAATACTGTTGCTGAAATGAAACACAGCACAAGGTGGAAAGAAGTGTCTGCTGACGCTAATACAGCTACCAACACCTAGTCGAGCCTAGGAAAGGGACACTTCAGGGAAATGTTTTCCCTAGTCACATACTTTAAAAAGCAAATAATTCCAGAACATTTACAAATTTTAAAAGCAAACACCTTGGAATCTCTCTCTGGGTCCCTGGGGCCTAGCCAGGTTTCCCTAGAACCCTGCAGAGGCCACCAGGCTGCCTGGATCTGGGAACAGAAGTCTTCGATATATTACTCATTCAAGAGAAATGTGTAAGGGGAGAAAAAACACAGGCATAGCTTTGCATCACTGAAAAATCATTAGATACTAATGGCAACAATAATATTTAAGCAATAACAAACAGGAATTATAAAATTCTGACATCTGGGTCTCACGACCCTTGTAACCCTCTTCTCCCAAAATCATATCCTCACCCTTGAACTTTACTGGCCGTATTTTAATGTTCAAGCTGAAAGCTAGTTCCATCCGAGCAGTACTTAAATCAGTCATTATCAAGATCCACTGGTGAGCAACCTACATCGAATTTCTGACGGACGGAAGAGATCTTCTTCTTTCCCTTGGGTTTTCCAGGTTTGGCTGCAGAACCCCCTGTCCAGGGCAAAGATCCAGCACCCTCTGTAAGACAGAGAAATGATAACCATACAATAACCCTGAAATAATAACTGGAAACTGCTAAGTTTGTTTCCATTCCGGACTAGAAAAGCATGGCATGCCTGAAAATGAACATAAATGCTAAGTGCTTAAGTTCAAATCTTTTCTTCCTACATCCCCAAACAAAATGATAAATTCTCTCAAATCACATTTTTTTCTAGCTGTAACCAAAATTAGTTTTTCAGAAAGACAAATGTGTTTGTTTTAACTGTCATTAGTGCCTGCTGGATGCTTTGCTTATGGGTAACAGTACTGTAAAGGCGGGGCAGGTTCTGTAGCCCAGGACAAGAGGTGAGCACGTGCACTGACCTCTGCTCCCTTCCAAGGCCCTGGGAGGTAAGTGGCACTCATTTACAGGATAAAAAGGAAAAGGAGCAGGCAAGATCAGATCCCCTCACATTTCTCCATAGTGAAAAGGATGCTGACTCCCAGAGGCTGGGAGACTCGAGACTTGGCTCAGCAAGGGAAGAGGCACTGAGGAGGGACAAGGTGACCCACCTAGCAAAAACCCACAAGGAACTGGGTCTGGAGAACCTGCATGCAGTGGAAGCCAGGAGGGACTGCAAGGCTAAAACCAAAGTTAACGGAAGATCCAAATCCAAAAGTCACACACAGAGACTCTGTTCCTTGCCCCCAGGACCGAGATCGGTACAAAACGAGGACTCCTCGTTGGAAATGAACAAGAATTCCAAGACAGTGACTGCAGGGCACGGTAACAAGGGTGGGGCCTGCAGTGCAACTGCAGCATCATGCCCACGCCCATGCCCACACCCACGCTTCCACCTAGGGCTGTCACAGGCGGGCAGGGTGGAGGGTCCGTGAGAAGGTGGGGAGGGAATGAAGGACCATCTCTAGTGGGATTCACTAAGGTGGCTGGTGTGGACGTCGGCGCCCTGGAGCAAAGTGCACTGGTATTTCGGGGACCTCGTGTTATGGTGGCCCCCAGCAGTTTACTATAAAGGAAAGTCTCCAGGCAGTCTTCATGCTTCGCTCTCGAATGTGAAAGGGACAGGAGGCATCAGACACCTGACAGTATTCTGTAGCAGGATAAGAAAGACCAGGCTAAACAAGTGACAGCAGACCTAGAGTGAAAAAGCAAAAGGACTCTGAAAACTGTCTAAGGTACCCTCAGAAGAGTCAGAAGATATATATGCAGACGACAAGAGGATGCTATAAAAGCTGCTGAATTAGGGACCAGTAGATAGTGTAGTGGCTACCTCGCTGGACTCCTACATGGCCGACCATGGTTTGAGTCCCGGACCCAGAGGCTTGAAACTAGTGGCAAAAACCTAAACTTAAGCCCAAATCTCTTGACTTCTATCAACCAGGGTTTTGTTCTGTTTTTTCTGTTTTGTTTTGTTTTTCCCTTTTCTAAATTGCCAGAAAGTGTATGCCCATGCCAGAGAAAAGAGGAGAAAGGAGGAGAAAGGAGGAGAAAGCGTCCCCCAGCAGAGCCTGGGCACACTGCGGTCTCTTCTCGATTTCTCCAACCTGTCGGGATTCTGGACCTGTCCACGAACACACACTTGTGCATGCCCAGCATGTTTTTCAAACAACCGGTGCCAGGATTGGAGCTGCAGTCTGCCATGCGGAACCTGGCTCCCGCAACCACTCAGCTACAGGGCTGCCCACAGCGAGCTTTGCTTTCCAGTAATTCTACTCATCCTCTGACTCTGGCACTTTACAATATATACTTAGAAAGATCTAACCTTCACAGTGTTGGCCTTTCCGATCAAATTAAATTTTAGACAACAAAAAGTATTGTCTTTATGGCCTAACTTTGGACATTAGAAAGGTACATTTAAATAACCAGAACACAAAGAATCTAACACAGTCTGTGAATGGCAGGGTCACACATAGCGAGGGGACAGAAAACAGCCACTGCTCCCTGACACCAACTGAGCAGACACAGTAATCATGCTTTATACCAATAACCAGTTCTTTGATGGTGGAGAAGTTAGGTGTCAGGAGATCTTATGTGAATTCTCAATCATATAATACAGGTTAGCAGAGAGGTGATTCAAAATACCAGCTGTTTCTAGATAAGACATGGGCTTTTGATACATGATCATCAAAATCGCCCAGCCGTTAAAAAAATTCAGTTTAACCTACATAGGCAGGACGTGCTATGAATATGAGCTTTAAAAAGCCCAGATAGCTGTTACCATCAGTAAAGTTTCAATGTACTTAGCTGTTTTTCCTTTTTTTCTTTTTTTTTTTTTTTTGGAGAGGGTTTTTGTTTTGGTTTCGCTATAGGGCTCATGTGCTTGCCAGAAAGACAGAGAGAGACAGAGAGACAGAAAGCGAGACCCCCCCCCCCCCCGGGGATGGCCACGCCACAATCCCTTCTCCTCCATTCTCCTCTCAGGATCTTGGGCACACACACACTTGCACTTGGCCTGAGTTTAAGCTACCGGATCCAGGACTCAAACCACAGTAGACTACATGGGAGTCCAGTGACATAGCCATTACGCCAACTGCTGGCCCCAACAGTCACTGCTTCTATCTGTACCTCTAAGTTGATGTCACAGGTTCAGCTTCCAGCCATGCCCCAGCGTGCTGTGAGCCTCTCCCAGTGTTCTCCACCAATAAAATGCCACCCCCCTAGGCAGAACTTCTAACCTTCCCAGTGCTAATATCTTACTTAATAGAAAGGAAGGGGGCCAGCAGGTGAAATGGAGGTTAAGGCAGCTGGAGCCCACATGGCCAATGTACAGTTCAAGACCCACACCAGTAACTTGAAAATCTCAGGGATGGGGCCTGGAGGTGGCATAGTGGTTAAGGCGCTAGACTCCCACATGGCCAAACACAGTGTGAGTCCCAGACCTGGGAGTCAGAGGGTCCTGCCAGGTGTGCATGCACATGTGCAGGTGTGCCCAAAATCTGCGGAGAACGGAGAAGGGACTGGGGGCAGCATTCTCCCCTAGCGGATGATTTCTCACTTCCCTCTCACTGTCTACCTCTGGTGAGCACATGTGCCATATCACGAAAAAAAAGAAAAAAAAAGAAAATCACGCTGGGCACGTGTGCATGCAAGCTCAAAATCCCAAAAGGAGGACGGAGAAGGCATTGCAGCATGGCCACCCCCTGGGAATGCTTCCTCACTTTCCATCTCTCTCTTTCCCCGTCTGTCTCTGGCAAGTGCATGTACCCTACACATTTTTTTTTTAAAGAAATGTTTGCTATAGGGCACATGCACTCGTTAGAGACAGAGAGAGACAGTCAGAAAGCCAGAACTCACCCCCCCCAGGGGGATGGCCACAAGCACACACACTCAGCATGAGTTTAAGCCCCAGGGTCCGGGACTCAAACTGTGGTTGACCACCTGTGAGTCCAGCAACATCCCTACTATGCCACCGGCTGGCTCCTAATAAGACTTTCTTAAAGAATAGAAGGAAGGTCTAGGTTTCCCACTCGCGTTGTGACTTCTCTGCCATGTAAGTCACCTCCCTCTAGCTACCAGAGACCTCGTCCTAACACTGGACGCCCTCTCTTCATCCCACGGACCTTCATCCAGACTTCCCACCCACTCTCACTTCTCACCTACTTCAGTGAACTAAGAAGGAGCTCAGTGGGGTGAAGACCAAAAGTAAATACAGCAAGTCTTCATGGAAAATGTGGATTAAGAGAAAACTGTGCACAGATTGCAAAAATTTTCTTGCACCAAAATAAACTCACACTTGTTAAATTGAACTATTTTGGTCTAAGATAGCCACTGTACTCCCACGCTTTGACTCCTATGGATAAGCCCAAATCGTACATGTTAGGCTGTTTTTCTGAGCTGGTTGCTAGGTTACAGCCAATCACAATAGTTAGGCTTCAGTCACTCACAGGTATCCCGCCTTTTAAACCCTGTTAGTGCAGACGAACTTCAGAATGTAGCCAATGATTTCTCTCCCTTGCCTTCACTTGTTTTTTATGTAACACTTTTCTGTTCTGACTTAAATACCAAATTGACCAGGAGACTAGCTGGAGTTGTCCAAAAGTCTGGGGACCACTGTATAATTTAAATTGTGTTAAGGTTTGCTCTATTAAAACTCTATTAAATTGGCTGGTTTATTTTTCTTTTAACAGTGTTGGTGTCAGAAGTGGGATCTGAAGTAGAGCTTCCAGGGACCCCCACGAGCAGCAGGTGACCAAGCGAGGCACCCACAGGATGCTTTGTCATCCACTGCTCTCTCACAGCAACTGAAGATCATGTAAGTTTTCGCTCAGATTTGAGCCCCATGGACTTGTGTTTAGAGCTCCCTGAAGTTTTTATATGAACAAGCGTTGGTACAAATTGGGTTTGGGGTTGCAACAGAAGCTGGACTGGGTACAGGATTAAATTGGATTAGGTAATTAACTGATTGGATCCAGCTGTCTGATTGGGTCAGACAGAAACTAGCAGTAAGTAGCTATTACTGTGGTGGTTGCAATAAAGATCTAGGCTAAATTTTTTTTTTTCTCATGAGATTTTTATGTTCAACATCTCAGTTTTTATTTATTTATTTTTTGCATGCTTAGAGAAAGATTATTGGTTAAATTGATAAAGGAGGACTCAGAATGCCAGGATAAATGATCTCCCATTTAGGTTTTTTCTTAGCTTGAAGAGACTCACAATTTACATAAAACATGGAATCCCTAATTCTTTTTTTTTGTTTGATGTTTTTGCCATAGGGCACATGTGCTCAACAGAAAGAGAGAGACAAAGAGAGAGAAAGTGAGAAATCACCCCCGAGGGGAGATGACCACGCCGCAATCTCTTCTCCTCCATTCTCCTCTCAGGATCTTGGGCACGCACGCACGCACACGCACCCGGCATGAGTTTAAGCCACCAGGTCCGGGACTTGAACCATGGCAACTACATGGGAATCCAGCGACATAGCCATACGCCAACTGCTAGTCCCTGGAAGTCCTCATTCCAAAGATCAAAGTACTTCCTGAAAACACCAATATTTATAAAAGTGGTGAGATCTTAGTAA